GTTCCTGATTGTCCAGGAACATCTAAAGAAAACAGCAGCAAAGGTCAAATCCCAAAACAACTTGCTAGCCAAACTTGCTGGATCAACATAGGGAGCTTCACTCACACCACTCTGGAACTCAGCTCTTGCCCTATCATACTCAGCAGCAGAGTATTGTGTACCTGTCTGGAAAAAGTCATCACACATACATCTTGTTGACACTCAGCTGAACACAACCATCATAACTGGAACCCTCCCCTCAACTACCCTCCCCTGGCTTTCTGTCCTCACAAATATCACTCCCCAACACATCTGGTGACTGATGATGACCCAAAAGTTGGTCAAAACTACTTACCACTCTACGATAACCTGCCTGTTTAATCTACCCAAGGCCCACCTTCCTTCATGAAGCCCCTTGTGGAACAGCCTCCCTGACCAGGATTTGTCTGCAGATGCTATCTTGATCAAGGAATGGGAATCACGGGAAGACACAAACAAGTTCCTTGTGACAAACCCCACTCGTCAACCTTTGAACTATCATGCCAAGAGTGGTCCCTGCTAAACAGGTTCGGGACAGGCCAAGGCCCATATGCAGCCACCCTTTACTACTGGGGCCTCAGTGCTAACCCACTGCATGAGCTTTAGTTAAAGCACCCCTGCTGCCATTTTTGAAGTGCGGGATGTTGGACACACAGGAGCTCCAGGTGCCTTAATTAAAATGGCTCTCAGAAATGCTCCAATTAAAAGTGCCCCCCCACACCTCCACCCCAAAGCATCTGTATAGCACCAAACCTGTTGCCATGGTACTTGTGCTGCTTATCACAATGGTATCAAAACACTAATGCATAGCTCCACTTTAAAATAACAATGAGATTGAGATGCATGTTGACCACAGCCAGGAAAGTCAGAGTTTAGGTTATTACTCATGAGAGAGTTTAGTCTATAGCACACACTTTTACTGTATGTTAGGATCCAATCTTGTACCCAATGAAGTTAATGGCAAAGTACTCACCAGTGCAGGATGAAATCTTAAGCGTGGAAGTACCTGCTCTCAGTTAAGCAAACCCAGGAATAAACATGTTAAAATCAACCCAGAAGCCCCTGACCCCCATTCACAGTGCGAGCCAGAGACTTCACAGAAATTCAAGAGGCATCTTGCATGCTTCTCAGGGGGAGCAGTCTACATCCAAGAGCAACTTTCTCTGAGCTGATATCACAATAAGAGTTAACTTCATAATAAAACTAAGGGTACAAGAATTCAGATGTATTCACCAAATGGCTAAAGGGGAGATTCAGATGCATTTGAAATTCTAGCCAAATTAAACTATTGTAGGAAACCTGGGTTACTGTAGTGCTTCTGCAATATTGAGGCCAGTGCTTTTCAGCCTCTTCAGTACCCCACTACCCTCTTTTCACAAAGATACTGAGAAAGCCAACTGCTCTTCTCCCATTTTAGCAACATCCAAAAGTAGAATCCACCAGACTGAGGATTCAGAATGTAGGCATGAGGTCCTGGATCCCCAAAGAGCCTTGGGCAGAATTTAGGTATCTAACTATCAGTGAAATGATCTTTCAGTATCAGCTAATCTACTGTAACCATTTCATCTATCTACTGTCTCACACCAAGTATAAGTTAAACTGGGACATCTTACCCCTGAGCGAAACAATTATTATAGTTACTGCAGTTTGGTTTCTATGTTGCGTGAGATACAGCAGGCAGATCCCCATGATGCCTAGTAAGCCCTCCTGCCACTGCAAACCTAATTTTTATTTTATTTAGACCCTCTGGCCAAAACTGTAGTCTTCCAAACCTTATGCTCAGCTGGCACCTGACCTGCGTTCTGAACTCCAGAAACCACCCCTTTTGTCAGCATTGAACTTCTCGGGTACTTACATCTATGCATGCCTTCTGTGCTTCGGGCTTGAAAGTGGGGAGCAGCTTAATGCCTAACTCTTTCCTAAACCCTACTGGAATCCATAGGGGTCTTCCTAGCCACCCTCCCTAGGTTTGTGGCAGTAAGGCATGCTCTGAGAACACCATCTGATTGGCCTCAACACGAAATGGAGTTGCAGCCATAGTTTTCATTTAAATCACAGCCGGAGAAGGAAGGGTAGGTGAAATGCCTACAAATAGCTCCATTGTTAAAGCACCTGCTCAGAAAGTAGGAGACCCATGATCCGTTTCCCTCCCCTCTCCCGTGAGAGAAGACTGCCATACCTAGAAGGGCAGTTGCTGTTCTGCAATGCAAGTCTCTTCTCCTGATGAAGCTCTTTCACTTTGCACCAGAGAATTCATGAGAAACTGGGGCAGAGGGAGTGAGCCAGAGTGAATTTAACTCTGCCCTGATGGTTAGGGCACTTGCCTGAGAAATGCTAGTACCAGATCCAGTGTCTGCTTCAAAGGTTGTCTCATTTAAGAAGCATAAACAGCCATTGCAGAAAGTACTGAAACAGTCTTTGGAGAAGTATCCCATATCTGTTCCCAGGTGAATGCCCTAACTAGTAGGGTAAAGAGTAAGGTCTTTGGCTAGATGAGCTTTTGCTCTCATGCAAAATGAAACAATTTAATTAGGAGTGGCTGAAAGTGCTTCCCCACACACCTTAAAGTCGGCTGGTTTGTACAATATCACAGGAAATGTATACTGAAACAGGGGTCGACTCCACATGTCCTGCATCTTGGCTCAGTGTATAAAAGGGAACCCCATCAGCCTTCCTCTCCAGCTTTAAAGAACCTAAGTGCTTCCTGTTTCTTTTAGATACAAGGGTTTGGTGTTAGACATCTACCTTCTGCAGGATATACCTGGCTTTGATGGAGTCATCTCTCAGTACTGTAGAGTAAGGGGCACATAAATGCAGGTAGGGCCAAGATTTAAGATATACCCCTTATCTTCAACATTTCTATATTGCTTGCTTTAGATGTCCCACTCAGCTTGCTCAGTATTGTATATTCCCTTGTGAGACACCTAACTCTCCCTGGACATTTTATAAGAAACCTGGTGACCTGCCTTGTGGTGGATCACAACATCTGGTGACGAACTGCAGTGTTCATCATGTGGCATTTAAGTCTCTCTTGGATCTTGACCCAGATGGAAAATTAATGAGCCGCAAAATAAACCACAATACAGTGTTTCCCCGGCAGAAATTTTATTTCTATAAAATACAGAAAATTTTGGCACTTATTTTACCATTTCACTTTGATATGATTTAGCAAATAAGTGTATTTTTACTGGAGAGGGAGAAAATCATTTGGAGGCAGCCTTAAATGGTTTGGGAAGGTTCTTATACTGTTGTTGCTATATATTTTTCATACTTTCTATGTACAAAAGTGTATTTACGGGAATGTGGCTCTAAGTATTTAGAAATGTCTTTTACTTTCAATGGAGAAAAGATGGTATAAATGGCATCAACATGACTTCTGACAGACATGAAAAAAGAAACCCGGTACTTTACTGGAAGGGGAAGTGTTTTAATTTGACCTGGCTCCCCAGCATCTGTGTAGATCAGGTGCTTTAGCAGGGCTTTTTGAGGCTTTCATCTAATAGCTGATTCAATGTAATAGCCCCAAAAGCCCCACTGAAGCATCTGATCTATACAGACATTGGGTGAACCGGGTCATGCTCTTCTGGGCATGTGCTGCACTTGGTGCGGAAGTACACCAAGCTTAAAGCACTGGGGTTTTTTCCACATCTGTAAGCAGCCTACATTTATAAGACATAAAACACACTAGGGTGATGGTTTTCTTTCTTCTCTCCCCCCCTTAATAATCTGCTAATTGATATCCATTTTCTGGATATGCACGTATTCTGCATGGATAATTACTAAGATTGCCATTAATACATACTATTACAAATATATCAATGGTAATGACAGGCCTCAACCCAATGGATTTTAGATCAGGCTCATAGCCAAAAATTCAAGTCAATCTCTCTCCTTACCAAGACAGGCTACATCAACAGCCATCAATCTGTCAGGATTTCTGCTGAAGGCCAGCACTACCATGCTGCCCTTTACTTATGGCATCTTTACATGGCTCCACGCAGTAGATGTGCCAGCAGATCTAGAGGCCAAACAGAAGTAGAAGCTCACTTCACCCAGCCAAGAGCAAGTAATGCTACTCTTGGACTTGAATTGGAGTCCTGCTGGAAAAGCTTCATAGCGCAAACTAAGCCATAGTGTTTAAAATACAATTTATTCCTCATAACACATAGGAATGCATCATTTAAACCCCACTTCGTTCTTAACCATTTTGGTTGGTGTATCTGGAACTCACCGCTTCACTCAGTGCCTTAAGGACAGAGATGAATAACATTTCTCTCTTGATTAAACAGTAACTTCCTGTAGCATCAATATTCCTTCCCACATCATGAAAAGCTTTTATCATTCATGAATTAAATAATCTCAAAAAACTCAATTACATTTCAGAAATATTGGAGTCAGCAGTACTTCACCAGGGCCCCTCATAATGGGTGACTTGACAAGCATTGTATTAAAATATAATGAAAAAGGTGTAGCCAAAGGCTTAAGATCAAAGATCCTTTATGGCAGATGGCTTAATTAAACAGGGGTTTATAAGAAGATACAAATCCCCCTTTTAAACTCTAATTCTTGTCATCTAGTTTAATGATAGGATCCAAAAACCTTCTGCTTATTAAAGACAAAACCATGAAGCAAATCTAAAATATGAGATTCCAATTGGTTTTAATGAGTAAGGTCCTGATCCATTGAGTTAACAGGAGTTTTCTTTTGATGTCTTTGGACTTTGCATCAGGCCCTAAACAGGTACTGATCACCTTCTGGCTCTATAGACAAGTAATGACATCAGTCAAACTTTTTTTCAGCACTGATTGGAAAGCATGCATTTATTTACTTGCTTTTTCAGTGCTGGAAATGTGCATTGTTCATTGTGTAGCTTGGAAGCAAAGTGCTAGCTATTTTAAGCATGCATTATATAGCCAAATTAAAAAAAAAAATAAGGAAACCAGCTCTGCAGAGCTTGCAATATAGTTCTTAGCTTTACTTACAATCTTTTTCATTCTGTTCTGGATCCATCTTTGAGGGTTAGGATGCAAAAAGCGTGCTCTAGCCACAACTCTGTCCACATGGAGTGCATTGTTTTCTGTGAATGCCGTGTTCATAGTACACAACCCCTCCAGCCACTCCCACCTCACAAATGAATCAACGCCAATGACAAATGAATCCAAGGCAAAGCTGGATGACGCAGAAGTTTTTGATGAAAGTAAATGCCAAACAAATCATGAGTCCCATACATCCTCCCAGAGAAAATACCCTTGGGAGAAGAAAGAGGACTTGGAGACATCTTTTCTGAGACTAGCCAGACAAGATTCATTTTCACTAAAGACCTTCAGGGCAGCTTACATGGTGTAAAAGAACTTCAAAGCAGAGATTGAAACCACTTTGTCCTGGAGTTTCAGTCTGTCCATTTCCTCATTCAGTCACACCAGAAGAAAGATTTTTCTCATCCTGGGCCAAGAGTCTCTCTTTCCACTTCACTCCTTTTCATTACCACTGAAAACCCATCAAGTAACACATTTCTGTACCTAAAAAGACTCCAATGCGCTTCTGTTCTGGGGCTTCATCTGCCTTTCTCCTTTCACCTCTGTAAAAGGGCTTAATTGATAATGTCTAAAACAATCTTTTATGATTGTTAAGTATCTGCCAACTGGGGAACAGGGAACTTGAGCAGTGAATGCAATCTCAATTGCCCTCCCTTAGACAGACGTGTGTGTGTGTGTGTGTGTGTGTGTGTGTGTGTGTGTGTGT